ATATAACAAATAATATGAGACACGACCCATTGTCTATATTAGAACACTTCTCATTGGGTAAGAAAGTTGTAATTTTTCATTTTTGTCAAAAAGTGTCTATAGTGGTGAATTATGGTTTAGGTTTTTTTTAATAAAGTTTCAAAAATTTCTATGTATGTGGAAAATGTAGTGATTACCAAAGGTTACAATTTTTATTTTGAAGACTGCATGGTCTAGGAAGTGTACATTTTTTTATGGGGCAAGTTTCCAAGGGCGGGTTTTCTAGGGGCGAGTTGACTGCCAAAGAGTGTTGCCAAAGTGCGAGCCAGCGTGTTATTTGATCACAAGTGCGAGACATCACAAGAGTGTGAGCCAACGAGCCATGACGTCACGACAATAGATACGAGACGTTAAAAAGGTGTGCGAGGTATCGGCTGAGATTTGTGGAGTACAATTCAAAAAACAACTATAGGTCTAATAATGAATTATTGTGATGTTAAATAGACAATGTTAGCTATCAAGGAGCGACGTTGTTTTTCATTGGGAGTCTAGGCCTCAAGGCTAGGCCTATACCATCCTAGCTAGTCTAGGCCTAGAGTAGGATAAGTAAGGCTAGCGCGACATGCGGACGTTGGTACGTGTAGGTTAGTCTACAAACGTCGCCTAATTTTACCCGGCAGAACGAAAGAAGGAAATTCAGTCGTCTTAGACCCTTGTTTTTTGACAAACAATGACCTTTCAGAGGTCAAATTCCTGTCAAGAATATGAATTGGCTGCTTCGCAGCAAAAATGACGTTACAGGGAAAATAACACAAAAGATATTCCCAATAAGTCTGACTTAGCGCATAATATTATTATGATTATTATACTATTATTATTATCATTTAAATTATTGTAATTTTACTGTATTATTATTAGTTACAATTTTATTTTGTATTTATTTAATAAGCCTAAAATTAAATAAATTAAATAAAGAAATAATAAGAAATTTGACATTATGTTCAGTCCTTCCAAAGTACGTACCTCATCAAATATTTCTAAATAAAATGTATTAACTCCTGTTGGCAAGTTACACTGAATAACCTTATTCCACCTTGGATTTTTTGACCCATTGCTGTCGGTTGGTGTTTCAAACACTGCATGTCCAACACGGATACGGCAGTAAGGGTCCATTCTCGTCATTCCGTAATTCTTTGCAAGCTTTGCCTAATAATAACAGAAAAGGACAAAAATTTACCATCAGGAAAACTATTGTTTCAGTCCACAGATTTGTTATAATACCTTACAAACAATATGCTCCAGATTTCACATACTGAATATATGTGATTATTTCAAATTTAGTATTGCCATGAAAAGGAATTTATAGATTAAAAATCAATATTTCCACAAAAATGCACTTCTAAATCAATCACAGCAAAAACAATCCATGTATTTACAATCTAAACATTCTATTGAAACACTGTTCTGTGAAAATAGACAGAGTGATTGACCAATGAATAATAAAAAGTGCATTGTTTTCAAATATGTCAGGATGCAAACCTATTACTTTCATTCTTCTCGTCCTTGTGTATGGCGAGTAGTACAAAATTTGAACTATCAGTACAGTAACTTTCTTTTTCATGGCCTATCGACAGTATTGGCGGTTTACCTAAATGGGCTAACAGACTTCAGTTATTGAAGGGGATAAATATATATAAAAATAAGAATTAATTATATAAAAACTAAGTATAATAAATAAATAAATAAATAACACAACCAAAAACCTGGGGTTTAGCCAGGAAAACGAAATAGGCCATCCAAAATGGGAGCCAGTGGGTGTGGCACTGAGCCGATGGGCAGGCCACACCCCTTCCCAAACATAAGAAAAAAAAATAGAAAATTATGATCTTTAGAGGATTGTATTTGGGTTGATTAATTATAACGAGAGAGTTACAAACACCAATAATATTATGTCGGGGAACCGAATCTCAAGTACTGTATTATATTGTATTTGCAGAGAGCCACCACGTGCATGCGTTGTGGGCGACTCAGAACCGTCCATTTTCCAGCGGGGTATAAATGTGCTGTAAGTGGACATTTCACTGGGTAGGCAATGTTTTAAGCCTTACATTTTTGGGAATCCCCACTGAATATTGGTATGAAAACAACATACATTCAATCAATAAATGTTGTTTTTATCAAACCTATGATTTAGCTTTAGTTAAATGTAACATTTAGTTTAATGGGTAAACATTAGTTTAATATAAAGAATTTGCTAAAGGTAGACCAGGCCCAATTAGGCTAGGCCGAGCTGATCAGGCCAAGCCGTCATGGTAAAAGTGGCAGTCCAAAAGACGCCGGACAGCTCGCTGGCTAAGCCTATGCCAAGAACATAGATAAAATACAGTTTTAGTCTTCAGCTATTAAAGAGTTAAAGTGGCTTTGATAAATGAAACTTAGTTATTATATGGAAGAAGACTAGAAGCATGTACTTCTGTACTCTTGTCGGTATTTAGGTTTTATTTTACAAGGTTCACTTTATTATATATATTCACAAACACCAATAAATACATTTAAAGCGATGACTAAAGGTACAGTAATTATGAATTGTGTTACCACAATATAAAAAAATAATTAAACTTTAGGTACACCATGTGTGTAAATATATGGTTTTGAGGTAAAACCATGGTAAATCAACCAGTTAATTAGAGAAAATCTATGTTATGCAACTGAGGAAGAAATAATGGTTAGAAATAGATTCTCTAAAAAAATTATGAGTAATCATAATATCTCACTGAATTTAATTTAACCCCAGGTGTGTATTGTAGATGTTAACACAAAGTAGAACACTTTAGACGCACTTGTTATTCTTATTCTTATTCTTATTCTTTTATTTCCAATTAAAACAGACAAAACACATAAAATCAACTGGGTGAGCTGGATGGAAACACTAAAGCGAACTTAATCACTGTGACTAATGCTGTCTCTTATACACATCTAGATGTGTATAAGAGACAGCGGTAGACCTACATAATAACTGCTAGATATACTTATTAATCAATTAAACTGATCGATTTTCACTTTTTTCATTAAAAAAAAATCGCTACTATGACCAGGGGTGGCGCAAGCGGGGGTCCAGGGTCCCCCATCAGGGAGAGCTGCCACTCCACCCCTCCCCCATTGGGGAGAAAAAACACAATTCGTACAGATTGCTCAACTGCACATTTAGACTATGTTAACAAGTTGTTATTGTATCTGTAGCTACCACCTATGTTTAAACAAAGACTGTTAGCTGTAGATGTAGAAGAATGCCTACACATCCTCAGAGCAACTTACCTGTGCAACAGTAATACTAAGACGCCCAATTGTAGCCTGTTGAAAACCCTGCCCACCAACACTCTGCTCATACTGAAGCATTCTAGCTGTCTGTTCATCGTTGCTGATCTGTTGAGATCCCTGCATTGGGGATGGTCCACCACCTCCCCCTCCTCCTATAGAGAGAAAGTCCTCAGGAAGCTCACCCACCATAACCTGAGATTAAATAAATAAAAAAACAATGAAATGCTGTTTGTCCATGAATGAAATAGTAACTTTTTTATATATGTAGTTTTATATATTTCTATATGGTAATAACATTATTAAATTATCAATTAGTCATAGTGTACTGTATTATAACAACATATTTGATATCACAAAATGATGTAGGCCTAACTAGGTTTACACATTTGTATGGTCATAAATGAAAAAAAAATTACTCCAAAGTACAGATGATTTCTTTTGTATTAAATAATAATACAGTGTAATTGTTATATAGGCTAACACCAATCTCACTCCGTAAAATTAGTAAAGTATGTTATTATTGCATAGGCATAGATAGGAAATACATTGAAAACACACAAATTTACACAGAAAATCGAGGTATGGCGAGGTACACCTTCATCGTATTTAAATCATATTTCAGACTCAACTCTAAACGGATTCCAGGTCAGCTTAGGCCTAGGCCCAAGTCGCCTCTTCATCTAGGATAGGTCTATTTGTACTGCTACTAGCTTAGCCCTAGCGTAGTCAGTCAGGAAGAATCGTCAGTCCCTAGGTTAGGCCCCCTGCTGGCTTAAGTTAGGCCTAGCTAAAAATGAAGGATTACTAAACTATTAAGCAAATACTAACAACAATATTCTGATATTCAGTGAGCAGTAATATTAAGCCATCATATAATTCAATAAAACTGCAAGTGATATTAAATTTGGTAACAGAATTAATGAAACGTTTTTACCTGTTCTCGCCTGGTAGTAGCCATTTTACTTGTTTACAAATGTCCTTAACCTTCCGGAATAAATAATTTCAGAAAACAACAAAGCCCTCTATCTACCACACTGGTTCCCGAGGTCCCAACCGATGAACCTGAACAACCACAGGTAGGTGACATAGCTATGAATAAACTAAAGATCAAAGCATGAAAATATTAAACCTAATGTATCATTTTTAAGTATACCTTGTAAACCTAAAACATATTGGAATGCCTCACAATTTTGTATATGATCATTTATACCACTATCAGATCGTGAAGAATGTTCTTTAAGTCTAGTTATTAAACATCTATCTGTCTATACCAATATAATCACTATTACAACCTGGACATTTAATATGATAAAAAAAAACCGAGCTCCTATGTTCCTTAGGGGTTTGATCTTTAGTAGATATAGAATGAGAGACATTTTTGTACTGCCATAATGTTATGAATTTTACCTCTTTAACTAAGTGTTTCTTTACTTTGTGCCTTTCCTAGATAAGGCAATGTAACCCAGATCTTAATCAAGCTATCATCAGTATACGGCCTATGTATACATTTAGGTTCATTTAATTTATTGAGTACATGGTTAACAACTTTTAAAGCGTACCCATTCCATGACATAAATTTTCTATTTGCATATAATAATAATAATATGGAAATTTATATAGCGCCTTTTGCCAAAGGATCAAGGCACTAAAAAGGTTTATTGTAAGAAAGGGGATTATTTAGGAAATAGGTGTGCTTTTAAGGGTTTTTTGAAGACTTCATATAAGCATAAAAAAACATTATAGTTAATTTGGGTTTACAGACAGACATCTAACTTGTAGACTACAACCAATTAGGCATTTTTACTAATTACCAGGAATAGTTACTATTTTTATTATGTATATTTATTAAGACATATTTCAAACTTACACTTACCAGTAATCAAAGAATTTTAAAGATTTAAGTTTTTTTTTAAAATACTGTATAATTGTTATAATCTCATATTAAAATGCCCATAAAGTGTTGATCCTAGAATGTGAAGGTACATTTTTGTTCTTTTTTTTGTTTCAGTTACTACAGATATCACCCATTCATATTATAACTATATTAAGGTTAAGTCAGAAATTCTTTTTGACAATATGCAACACCTAAATGGATAATACTGATATCCGAATAAATTATATTAATTACCGTACTGTATATTAATGTTCAGGTGTGACCTCTGACTCACTGAGATGATGACAACACGATGCATTGAGACGCATGGAGGTCATTCGTAGCATATTAATATGTATTTACAACATAATATGATATAATACAATATAATATAATATAATATAATATAATATAATATAATATAATATAATATAATATAATATAAGAATATCATGAGATGTAATATGCCAACTAAATGTCCTAGTCAATGGCTGCCAATAACTGATAGGCCTATATTTTCAGTGGCTAAATTTATTATTATTACTGTAAGTACCAAAATGTTAGTTAAATCCACGACAGTCGTGTATTTTTCCACTATTTGAGGCGTAGCATCGGTAGCATAATTTTACTCCAGGAAATGGCATAATTTTATTTAATGACAGGTTCCTGTGAAAGATAAATTCGATGTGAAGTGTCAACCTGGGCCTGTAGCCTGTTACGGTTGGGAGTCTGGCGACATCATCGTCGTCGTCACATTTTCAATGAACACAATAGGACAACAGCAATTCTCTACAATATGATCAGTATATTTTCGAAAAATCTCATTATCCAAAAATAATACATTATATGCATGCACCGAAGTGGACAGTACCTAAAATGTTCATATATGTTTTATGTTGTTTGTTTAATAGCCCTTAATGATATCATTCTAATGTTGACCACAACATTAGGAAGTCCACTCTTTAACTTCTAAACAGAACGCTTTGTCACGGAGCTTTAGACTCATATAAATTTATATTTCCTCATAGGCCTAATCAAATATTTAGCATTACAGAGAATTGTTATTGCCTATCAATCTCATATATCCAAATTTTAGGAAATAACGTTTTATGCATCGTGCACCCACGTTTGAATTTTAACCTAATCATTTTGATGTTTTATGTTGTTTGTTGAATGATCTTTATTAATATTACAGTGTAATATGACCACAACAGAAGAAAGTCCATTTTTAAATGTTTAGCATAATATAGTACAGAGAATTTTGATTGTTTATCAATATCATTATACACAAGTTAGATCCAATTTCCAAGAAATTACCTTATTAAATTTGGTTGTATTATATACAGTAGGCCTATTACACGCTTATTAATTACTGTAGATATCTTCTCAGTTTCTCAGTATTTTTCTTTAATGCTTTTTCCACTTCCAACGCTTTTTGATTTGAAATTCACATAGGCCTACCATTCATGCCGTTGCTCTTCTTTCAATTCCGTACCGTATTTATCTGCAACCTCTCAGTGCTCGGTGGTCATTTTTTACTTTCTTTTTAGATGTAGGCCTATCAAAGTGTGTTCGTAAGTTTTAAGCTCTAGATATACAATTTTCCAAAGATTTAAAATTAATTTTTTAATTTTAATTTTATGTGATTTATTTTAATTTGAATCAATGGCTAACTTTTGAGCAGAATACATCTTTATTTACTTGTGTTCAACAATTTTTAACGAAATCTAAACGATTCCAAGGTTAAGTTGCTTTATTTATATACGGTATATATATATTGTTGATCATTATTCTTAGGCCTATATATTATATTTTATTTTCTTATAGTGATATTTTTTAACTTTTACACATCCACGATGCAGATAAATTGTATTAATATGTTTGAAGGCTCCTCGATGCTAAGGCTGTGCTTTGTGCGAGGCCTTTGTGTGAAATATTGAAAAAAAATAATAATTAAAACCCCATTCCCGGAAAAATTTCTATCTTTTTAACATTCTGTTCAAGCCAATTAAAGACTCCTCTATTTAGAGACCATGGGAAGACCACGGTTTTGTTGGACCCAAATGAAAATTCTCCCTCCAATTAAAGACCACTACAAAATAAATAGTCACGTTAATGCTATTTTTTCTATAATAAATGTTGTTATAAAGTTTAAAACAAAAGCCAATGAACATCATAAGATGGTGTTTTGTGTGTGTTTTTTTTATATAATCACTTTAGTAAATTATATTTATCATTTTATATTATCCAAATAATGTATTTCATTTGTATTAAAATTAAATTGAATTAGTAATATTTTTAATGGAAAGTTGCTTAGAAAAAGTACAAAAGAAACAATTTTTCTAGTACTAGACAGGCCTAGCCTACTGGCTATAGGTCAAATTAGGCCGCTAATTCTGCCGGGAATAATGGGGCTTTAAAATAATAAATTTAGTGTGATTTTGAAATAACAATATAATAAAACTATATATGCCTTTCAATAATAATAATAATAATAATAATAATAATAATAATAATAATAATAATAATAATAATAATAATAATAATAATTATGGATTTATATAGCGATTTGAATATAATTTTCTTTTTTCTCCACTTCTAATTTTGAAAAAAATTATTGAGGGTGGGCCAGTTGGGCTCCCTTGAATCTGCCACTGAAATACTCATCATAACATTTTTCGAAGCATGAAAAACATAGTTAAACTTAAAACAGTCACTCTAATTTGGTTTCTTTGCATATACAGTACTTTTAAAATCAATCAAGGGTGTTTTCCTTTTCTCCTCTTTTTGAATTTCACTTTTGTGCAAGTAGTATTGCGACTACTGTACACTATTGTGAGTGGAAATACTACGCGTATTCTTGGCCTTATTCGTCATGTACTCTTGACAATCTTTATGATCCAAAATGTATCTGTCTCTTATACACATCTTAAATAGTCACGTTAATGCTATTTTTTCTATAATAAATGTTGTTATAGAGTTTAAAACAAAAGCCAATGAACATCATAAGATGTTTTGTGTGTGTTTTTTTATATAATTACTTTAGTAAATTATATTTATCATTTTATATTATCCAAATAATGTATTTCATTTGTATTAAAATTAAATTGAATTCGTAATATTTTTAATGGAAAGTTGCTTAGAAAAAGTACAAAAGAAACAATTTTTCTAGTACTAGACAGGCCTAGCCTACTGGCTATAGGTCAAATTAGGCCGCTAATTCTGCCGGGAATAATGGGGCTTTAAAATAATAAATTTAGTGTGATTTTGAAATAACAATATAATAAAACTATATATGCCTTTCAATAATAATAATAATAATAATAATAATAATAATAATAATAATAATAATAATAATAATAATAATAATAATAATTCTGGATTTATATAGCGCCTCACGTTGACACAACCTCGATTTGCTTAACAACAACAGAGAAGAAAACCAAAACAAATGCAAATGTACAAATATTTGGTTTTAGTTTAGTTTAATAAAGTTCAAATGATTTGTTTTATGATCAATAAGGTTAAGAGAATCAACGCACATGTATCCTCCCTGTAATTGATTTTTGATTAATCATAACGTTGACATAATTCATAATAGTACCGTAATCAAAACAATAATCGAAAGGTCCACTGAAGATAGTATAAACGTAGCTTACTCCAAGTATCGAGATGCACGCCATTGTGTTTCAATATTTCGATATTAATGTCTTCATCAGGAATCAACAAACAACAATTATTTGCCTCATCAATACAAAAAAAAAACAACAAACAGTAAAACAGTATCAAACAGCCGATTCAATTACAGTCCCCTATGGACAATAATGGACAATGCAAACATCGTAAATACCGTATTGAATTTATTTTGTCTATATTTTGTCTTTGGTTGAGGTAGGTGGCATTTCTGACAACAGAAAGAGTTGGAATTCGCCAGTTCACCAGGCACTGTAATCACTTTGTATTTTAAAAAATAAGTTTATTGTTTTTCACTCTGACCTTCCCCATGCATGGTGAACGAAGATCTGGGTCCGCGCCTTACCTGTTAATGTGTTCGTTGTACGACCGCCGGCCGACGGATCTGCTCTCTGCCAGTTTGACGACGCGCCGTCTGCTGATTGTAGGTGGCAGTCTGAACGGACAAGGGCGTCGATCCATGGTTGAAAGTGGAGGGTGGGACGAATTGCAAAATATAGAAGTCTCTGGTGTCTAG